TTGGGCACATATCTGTTCACGAGTACATTTCTAAAGCTAAAGACTCGGTTTGAAACCTCTGTCAGGAACACTGCAACTGCAGCTTATCACAAAGCTATCTTAAATCATGGTGGGTGGTGAAGTTGTCTTCCATCTGACATGTTAGCTGTCTGTCATTTTCCACTCCGTGTGGCTGCTATGACAATTTATACTTCAGGTTAGGGTTCCCTTTGCCTGAAAGCTGTTTTTAGCTACTTTTCAGCTAATATTGCTTGGGGTGGATCTAAAAGACTAAGTGAAAATCTGATAAAGACTAGAACTAGCAACTTTTTAGGTACACGAGGTTACAGTGCTGTGAGTTGCCATTTTCTGGATGTTACATGTTGGATCTGTGAAGGAAAATAACTCTTACCTGCTACTACTTTTTTTAGTATAGACCAAACTGAATATATCTGTCTTGTCCAACTGTCAGGATTGGTCTTTCTGTGGACATTACACAACATGATGCCTGTCGCATACGATTAGTGTGGCCCACCCTCTTCACCATGAGGTGAAGCCAGACTAGATTGTCCTCTGCCTTGTCTGCATATATATTTTTGGAGCACCCCAGGACTTGTGACAAACACCCAGTTCCAATCATGAGTGTGTGTGTATGTGTGAGGAGGGGGGATAGTTAGTATATGGATCCTTTGTGCAGGGGTTTCTGGAGTTAACTCAGCACTGCTCAGTACGTGTATGTATGGGGTCACCATGTCTTGAAATGCTGTTGGCTTTGGTGGGGTCCAACCCAATGAACTGTGGTAAATTGCAAACCTTTAGCTTTAGATTAATATCACACATAGTTTGTACTGCATGTAAGTAGGTGCCAAAGTGCTGCTCAAATGTGTGTTTATGGAACACCTGTTCTAAAACTTGCAGCAGTTTCCAAAAAGGTAACATAGGTCATTTCTGGATAAATTAAGCATATGAGTACTATGTGGAAATGGTTACAGCCATTTTTAACTTCAAGGTTATTGTTTTCAAATTTGTTCCTTCTATGTGTTTGGGGTCCTCTTAGAATCAAGGGCTGTCATCTATCTGTGTAAATATGGAAGCTATCAGGAAACTCTTTATTTTGACTGCAGCAGTTTGTCTACCAAGAACTCTTCAAATATAAACATAAGTGAACATTCTGCAGAAAAATGAGGCATATAGCTGTGGTGTTGAGAAAGGTCAGGTGTGTTCAGGGTCCCCCCCGCCCCCATAATTCTTTCATTTTCTTTAAGAGACTGAAAGAGCTTCAAAACTCTTTGAGGATTTAACCAGATACCATAATGGTTTAATGGATTTAACCATTAAAGTAATATACTTCACTCCTTTAAAGTAGATTAGAGTTTAAAAATAGCCTTTCCATATCTGTATACACGTGGCAGTTTGTTTTTTTTAAGGTAACTTGGGCTAGAGGAAACTCATATGTTCTCATCTCATTAATGTTTTCTCAACAGCATTCTGACCAAGGATCTTTACGGTAATTAGACAAACAGTTAAATGTCTCCTCCCTGATGTATGTAATGACTAACTTGGGAAAATGCTGCACACGCTACAATTACTTGTTTGCTAAATGTCCCTCTGCACCACTGTTTCAGCCCTTGATTACAAATAGCTGTTATATGTAGTTACCTGCTAATAACTTTTTTGTAAATGTGTCCTAATAATAGGGATGTGTGGCTCTGAATAGTATTTGGAGTTTGAATAACCTGAAAATAATATGACTTTTTCTTTTCTCCTCTTAGAACCCAACTTGGAAGCAACTCAGAAGTGATCTTGGAAGTCTGGGTTTTCTAAGCAGCAGTGTTTTCTCATGGAACTGTTGTTGGATAGGCTGGCAGTTGTAACTGAATAAGTGTTGTGGTTCACTTTCACATGCTTGTACTTTAATAACTGTGGTGTAGATTCTAAACTCAACATAACATATTTCTGTTCTTGCAAATAGCCATATTTAGTAAAACCCTCCCTTGGAAATCAAAAATGCTAAAATGCGCTTGGAAGTCTCATCTTTTGTTTAAGATTACATTAATTCTTAAACTTACAAAGAGGGATACAAAAAATAGCTTTGTCTTTAAAGCTGTCAGTATATGCCCTTACATATGGATCAACTATCAGTGATAAACCTCAGAAAAGTACAACAAAACATGTAAGGAAAGCACTCCTATATCCATGTGGCTGTTCCATGGTATATTACTGCAGTAGTGAAGGTCTAAAGACTTCTGTGAACTTAAATGGAAGATTCTGTGTAACTGTACATGAGAGTTGAATTGATTTAGACAAATTGGTACATTGGCCTCTTCTGCAGGCTGCCATCTTCTTTGGAATTTGAATCTAAACTTTCTAGCTCTTACTGTTTTAGAAAAGCCCATTATCACATCAAGCTTAAGCTACTTGTATCCACTCAGAAACATGGAGTGTGGGGGAGGATGAACTGACTGACTATATGGTAGTACATGGCACTGTTGGCCTCTTACTAGATTGCTGTTGAATCTAACTACTGAACTGTTATAAGCCTTGGTTTGGGTCAGAGTGTAGGTCTCTTTTACCACCAACCCCCCTACTTTTCTCCCCCCCACAGCTGGGGTTTGGACTGTCTCTAGGTCTGAACATTTCTTATTCCTAGACTGTACTTCCTCTACTGCTTTAACAAACCCTTCCTCAGAATCTTGCCAAAAGTTTATAAGCCTCTTAAAGATGCAGATGAGAGATGTGAGCAAACAGGCCTTATACATGGATCAACTATTAGCAATTTAATGCTAATCCTCTTGGCAGATGAGAATGTTGTATACAAGTAGCTTGTTTTCCAGTGCCCTTGGGAATTCTTAGAGAAGGTAGTTAACTAGGTTAGTCTCGTTAGAAGAGTGGCTTTGGTTACCAGTAACTAGTTCACAGAGGTATGAGCTTTCATAGGCAACAGCCTTATTTAGATGCTGTGAACAGACTGATGAAACAGGCTGTTGCCTATGAAAGCTTCTATGAACCAGTTGATCTCTAAGAAAACACCTTGTTCTGCCTTCTGCTTGGAAGTCCCCAGGAAAAGCAGGGTTACCTCCACTTTATCAGATTCCTGGTATAGGTAATTTTCCCTTAGCTTGAACTTCAAAAAATGTCCAGAATGAATACCTCCACTCCTGTGCCCTTGTCGCTTTTACTCCTGACAGGTGAGAAACCAGTTTTCCATGAAGGGGCTAATGTATTGTATAGCATACTTATACTTGAACATAACTATAAAGATAATCTTTTTGACTGCTTTTAAGTCAGTAGTGTGATTCTTCAGAATGTCAGTCCAGTACATAAGTGAAAGAGATGAAGGGTAAAGGGTTGCAGATTCCTGGTGGAGTTAGCATCTTAGTAAAGCTACATAGTTTATAAGCACTCCTATAATGTTGTGGGACAGCATATAAAACCCTTGCCAAGGGAAAAATGGGGATGGGAAGAACAAGTTTGAAGGTATGGTTTCTTTAATCTCCCAGAGATTGGGAAGAGAGTAGAGCACATACAATGTACTTGGTTGAGGGGAAGATCAGGAGAATTGCAGTGAGACTCTGAAGCTGCAAAAGATAGAAAGGTGGCACACAAGGAGCTGATGGAAGCATGCCCAAATCACCTGATGCATGCAATAAGGTTGACTGACAGACCTTACAAAGTATGCAAGCTCTTAGTCACTTCACATACCAAGTACAAAGGCAAACATCAGAATGCAGAGAACCTGGAACAATAGATGAAATGGATGACCTACTATTAATCCTGATCAGCTGAGAAAGATAGGTGTTTTAATGACAACCAATTCATCTGGTCAGAGCACTTGAGGGAGATCTTAAGCAACTCAGATTCAAGTCCCTGCTCTAAGTGGTATCTTAGTTTCCTCTGTTTTCCTTGTAATACACTTTTTAAGGACTGAAATGTTTGGCCTAACCTAATGGCTTTGAGCTTGATATAATGTGTTAGGTAGAACTTTGTGGTGTGTGATACACAGATCAAATTTCATAGAACAGGTACTCTATGATTTATAAACCTCAACCTGTTTATCTGGGTGCTAAAGATTTCAGCTGCTTAAAGCTGTCACACCATTTCTGTAAAGCAGTTTTATATTGTTGATTTAAATAGTTGCAGTATATAGATAGAAAATGTGGAGAAAAAGTTGTTACCAAAGTGTTTCTGAAGCTTATTCTACAGTAGTAATTAAGGGTGCTGACAGACATGGAAAAAAATGCACTACTGCTTCTAGTAGAGCACATTCTTTGACTCAGCTCTGCAGCATCTGTAGAGATTAGGTGCTTCAGCGGGGCTTTTTGGTGTTTTTAGTTAAAGTTGATTCAATCAGCTATTAGGTAAAAGCACCAAAAAAGCCCCACTAAAGTACCTGATCTCTGGTGTTGGGAAAGGCAGGTGCAACTAACATGCTCCCTCTTCTGGGCATATGCTGGGCTCAGTGTAGGAGCACCATGAGTTTAAAGTAAAGCGCCGCTTTTTTTCCCCCACTCTGCAAACAGTCTATCTCCCCAGAAACTTTCAGAGTTATGCTCTGCTACCCCAGCATTTGAAACAAGGCAAGCTGTTTGAAGTTCAGCAAAAGGAACCAACCAAGAGTACTGTACCTGTACTCAGGACAGGTGTTGGATATGTTCACATTTATGTCAACAAAACTTAAGCACAAGTAGGTCTATGGTGTCCTGAATACAAATGCCTTTCTGCAATGAAACCTTAATGAGTTCATGTGAACAAACCTTTAGGATCATTGAGAGACTAAGCAGGTTGTGTACTATTGCGGGTACTAAAGCAAATTTGGTAAACCTGTTACTTCCCCTTCCTGTTGCTAAGGTTCTTCGTTACAGAGTTGAGATTCAAAAGGGTTGGCATTAAAGGTGACAGCTGTGGACAGAAGTGTTCTTGCTAATGCAACTAACTCCACACATAGGGAAAGCCAAATTTCAACACCATGGTAAAACTAGTGATGGCTGCAGAGCACTGAAAATAAGTTTGCAATAGATCAATCATGTCAGACACTATGGGCCATTTATTTCTTAATACTGTTCTAACAAAATCCAGGCAATAATGCTGCGTTAGTTTTGTTGGCACCACTTTCCATCACAGTGCAATGTACACATACAAATCTGTAGCAAAGAGAAAGCTTAACAAATCTTTATACCTTCCAGTAGAAAAAGGAGCTACAAATATTAACACTTGTTATACAGCATAACAGTGGTTAGAAGCTTTCTATTACACAGAAGGTAAACAATACTTAGGACAGCCCAAGTTCATTCCTGAGCAGTTTCAGAGTACTTGTTCACTGACTTCCTGTCAAATAGGTTAGAAAAAGTTAAGGCACTAGTAAACATGGAACACTGTACTACTAAACAGCAAAATTGGAGCCCTTCATATTGCCTTTTAGGGGCAGACAAGAAAGACACTACTAGAGTAGCCTCCAGTAAAAGGTCATAGAAAAAACGAATCTGTAGAGCTCATGATCCTGAATTGCTGGCTTAGCAAGAAATTTCTTTACTAAATATGCATGTAAGGAGGATGAAGAGCAGCTTTCATAGACATGATTTACTTTATAATCCACTTACTGCTATCCATAAATTAAAGAAAGTGATATTTAAAAAAAAACAAACATGAACACAGCTGGAATACTTTTCACAACAAAGTCTATCTTCTGATCCTGAATATTCCAACATTTATTTTCAGTATGTACCCCAAAAAGAACAAATAAAAATATTTGCAGAATAGAGTTTAAAAATCCCTTTGATGTATTGTATAACAAGTAGGAATTTGGTGTCCCTCACAGAGGCTGAAATCTTCTAAATAACAAAAGACTTGGTGTGCTTGAAATTCTAAATGAAAAAAAGAAAAGAAATGAGCAAGGTGACACTTGAGTAATGGCTCAGATATTTTCAGCAGAACATCCAGCTTAGCATTCATTCTGCTGAAATGCGTGCAACTTTATTCAGGACTCCAGGTTGGAAAATGGAACCAACTAACACATCATGCATATTCTACCCAGAAATGTGATAAAATCTTTATAATGAGATGGAACTCCTCACAGCAACTGAATACTGGACCTTGAAGACTGACCTAGGAATGTCACTAGGAGGTATTTAAGAATAAGAAAAATAGTTAATGCTTCTATAATAATGTTTTCTATCTTAAAAATACTTTTCTGTTGAAGTACAATTTCAGCAGAACACAATTATGTATGTTGTTAAGGTTGATGAGTATTCCTCAGATTCTCTTTCCCTTCCCTCTCCTCAGAATTAAAGGGAGGGGGCATGCCAAGAAAATGCAAGAGGAAATAAGCCTGGTTTATAAAGTTTTGATTTAGGGGTAGAATAGAATTTCACATAAAAGCTAATTCTTTTTGACATAACCCCCAGCAAGTCTAATGCATGCTCATTCGCTGGGTTCGAGTACAGAGGTCTCATTTCAACGTTGGACTGAGAGCTAAAACTCTCCTCACTCTATATCCCCTCAAACAATAGAGGACCAGCTAAATCCACTCTCATGAGCTAAGAGAATGAAAATTAGCAAGTTTTGGACTTATGCAAGTAGTGTGGAAGATGAGAGGTGCTACTGATTGAGGCAGAAGGGAACGAGAATTACAGATACTGTGTTTACAGGTTTTCAACTTACGCATTGGCGATCATTTGGGAGGAAGAAACTGGTCATATGTGATGCACATGTCAACAAACTTCTATTTATTAAAGGCAGGGAAAAGATGGTTCTGATTATATTCTCCATACAGCATGGGATGTGTGGCATCCCAATATTTAATTCCTTTGAATTTTTTCTCATTTTAACAAGGTTTTCTTAGAACAAACACTCTGCTAGTCTTCAACTAAAATGAATTGGGACTAACCACTACATCTAAATACCGGTTGTTTAGCAGTCTTTACTCATTTTAGCATTAAAGTGGGTAGTTATGAGAAGTGTATTGGTGGGCTCAGGGACAAGTCTATACATACCCAAGCTAAGTGCAAGATACTTGCCTTTTCACTTGCTGTAGGTGGATGGTCAGAATTCTTCCTGTTAATAGAGCAAATAAAGGAAGATTAGCTGTTTGATTTCTCTGCTTATACTTTTAACTTTCAAGAGTAACTTATTTTAGCACAGATTTATCCACTGTACATAGAACCCCATCTTGACTTCCAGTGTATAACAGTAATTATCTTGCAGAAAGATTAACAAGACTTGGCAATCAGCAAACATTGAGTTTGGGAACGCACTGAATTTCAGAATAGAGTGTTTGGCAATGTGATTTTTCATGCTCTGATCTGACTTTTAGAGTATCTCAGTGAAGGATAGAAACTTAACCATTTTTAGTGATTACAATTAACCAACTCAGTGATGGAGAAAGGGGGAAAATTTTTGCTAAAAAATATTCTTTCAGAGGCACAAAATAATAGCAACATTTTCTATTCTATACTAAGGGCATGCTCCTTGCCACTTGTCCACTACAATACCTGTAATAAATACTCTGGAAGCAGCTATGCAGCCAAGTCAGTATACCAAACTAGCTTTTACTAGCTTATCATTTTAAGGCTCCTACATGTGCTGCATATGCAGTTTGTAACCACTGAAAATAATTTCCAAGAAGCTTTTAAAAGTAATCTTTAAAGATAAATTAATAAATTACTTGTTTCTTTTCTTTACCCACACATGATCATGCAAGCTATAAAAACTGAACTTAGCAAGCCAGAAAAAAATGCGAGTTCTAGCTCAGAATTTTAGCTCCATATGTGGATACATAACTCAGACTGTCTCATAAAATAGACTGGCAATTGTCAATTTCTCAAAAAACATAGTCTGGTATATTTCCTAGGGAAAGACTGAGGAATATTCTTTCATCCTGGTTCACAACTAATTTTCAGACAGAAGATGCAGATGCAGATTTGGGTACCAATTTTTGACCTAGCTAATTAGCTACTAGGTATTAAGGCAGACCAAATGTATGCCTGCATCTGAATTGGAGAGCTGAATTATAATCCTGAAAGTTTACTTCTACGCGTTTCACAATAGTGTTTGGCTCATTTATTACAGCCAGTCTGAAGTTTGTCGACAGATTATTAGAAAACATAGTGATAAAAATCCAGACATTCCCAAGAGAAAGGAGCAAACTGGAGAATACTTTAAAGCAAATAATTAAAAGTAAAATTCTGAAAATCTCACACAACTATGTCTTAGGATCACACAGAAAACCCTTCCTCCCCCCAAAAAATAAATCACATTTTGTACATCATAAGTAGAAATGAACTTAAGTGATATGCAAGAGAATGAACAAACAAATGAACATCAAATAATTATACTTACCCAGAAGAGCTTTCTTCTGGGGGCAGAGGGGAAAGAAAAACAAATATCTTTAATGTAAAATCACTTTCCCAGCTGACAAACATCATTTGATACATCTGCTGTGGACTGCTGATTCTTGCCCTTCCTTTTCCCTTAATTTCTGGCAGCACAAATTAAATTTAGCTTCTCACTTGTGGGTGAGCAAATGACAGACCTTTGCATTAGTCCATCATGACACTGTTCCAAAGCTGGACAACTCCCCTCTAAAGTTACTGACTTACTCCTGAAAGCTTTCAGCTGCTTGTTTTCCTGAATCCAATTGCAAAAAATCAGCCTGCCACTCTAAAGCAGGATTTTAATATTCTCTTTCAGACACAGATTAATTTTCATGCATCAATGTATGCCTGCTGTATTATACTCTATGGCCTCTAATGTCAATAGCATAAGAAGACTGCCCTCCAATGCCTTCAACTAGCTATATAATAAAGTTCAACAAAAGCAAAACATTTCTTGACACGCATTTTTGTTACTGCCCAGCAGATGGAGCCAGCAAGTCCATCTTGATCCAAATGCAAGGGTGAATCTGCAGGTTTGTCTGCAGGCCAAACTCCCCAGAGGTGCTCTTATACCCACAACGGCGCTCTCTCCCTCCATGACACACTTGGCATATAACTTCTTTCTTCAGCTAGAGACTTCGTACCTAAGCAGTCACCTAGGTTAGATTCTGCCTCTGTTGAAGTCAGAGTTAATTTTCTTCAGTGACTGGCTAAGCTCACTTCCTGAGTATTGGGAAAGCCATCAGTAAAGATTTAATGCTTTCTAGTATTCCTGAACATCCTCATCTTTGCATAAGAAAGAAGCTTCAACTGCCTGAATTCCTGTTCAGTAGTCATATGAAATTAACTTGGCAATTCCATCTCTTTTTCTATTGCAAAAACCAAACCGGGAATGATAAAAATAAGTAGGCAGAACAATTAAATATAGGTGAGCTCCTCCACTTTCAATAGCAATGCTCTTCTTAACTTTTTCGTGCAAAATCAGACCCTGTAAGAATAGAGTGACTTTTCTTGACTACCGGCTATTTTTTTCCTGATTAGTCAGTAGAAATATTTAAACATAGCAAACCTTCTGATGTTCATAACACATGAAAGATTTTGTTTTACTTACTTGAAAAGTAACCCTTTCTTTGTGCGTGAAATACCCCAAGTCCGCATAATGCCATTATCAGAGACACAATTACTACAGCAGCTATGATTCCGCTTACATTAAGGTCGTCTATAATTGAGAACAATGAATCCAGTGTTAAAAAATAATCTTGCCAAAGTAGCTATTTTACCCTGTAAGAATTCCTGGCAGCAGAGGCACTCATAACTATAGAAAACAATATGTAGATGGCTGGGACATAAAAGTTATCAGCAACCCAAAATGTTGACAGAAGAAGTATTTGCTGCATCGCAACTACACACATATAGCAAAAACCACAGTTACCAGGAGTCTTTTTGATACATGTTGTATTAGGAACCAAAGAGTAAAATCTGGATAGAGACAAGGAGGTATTTTTTCTTCAAAAGAGAATCTAACCCAATTTACACACATATACACAGCAGAGGGAGAGTATATCCTGAAGCTTGTAAATGCAAACAGCTGCTCCAAGTAGATTTTTTTTAATTAGTTTGATTAAAATAGTATTAACATAGCAGCTGATCAAAGTGTTGGGACAGAATTACATTAGTGCCACTAGTAACTTTACAGGTGGGTGAACACTATTTACTGCCCCAGGGCTTCTGACCTAAGTAGAAGAGAGGTTTTTTAATAATGAAAACATCAAGGCCAAAACATTCCATCCCCCATGCCTAAAGTTATACTCCCAGAACCATATTTGGCCACCTAAATAGAAGAAGCCATATTTTTCAGGTGATGAGCAATCCTTAGCCCACTAATTAAGGAGAGCTAAAGAGACTTAGCACTTCTTAAAAAAAAAAATCAAATGATTTCTAGTGAAGTACTTTTTATTTCAAGGCCTGACTTCAGGCATGTACATTTGAAAATTTTAGCTCGAAAGCTTATCATTGCTCATCTCAAGGCACACCAAAGTCTAACTTAGATTAATGTTTTCCTAGCAGATGAAGTCAGTCTTGATAAAATATAGTATTTGCTCAAATGTACTAGAAGTGGCTTAAAGACCCGATTAAAAAACAACTTTCCATTCAGTTTAGTCGGCTTTCATCCAGGCCCTAAGAGTAAGAGATGTAAAGAATGATTTAAAAGGTTCCTGACAAAATGTATCAACTTTCCATTGATGATTATAATCCTTTTGGAAACCTAAAATATTTCCTTACTGACTTCACTCTGTCACACGGGCAGCACTTGTTAGTATTTTGCAGAGGTAGTCATAAATGCTGGCCTCCTGGAACAGATTTTTTTTCTTAACGGAAAAGACATAGTTGTACTTGTTTACAGAACAAAGGCTACATCCAACAAGTTACATGGATATTGCAGACTTGATAAGGACCAGAAAGCACAACATTTTTTTTGGTCTATCAAATTTGACAGTGTTCCTGTAAACAGACATAAATGTTACTTTTATTTATTTACTGTAGTTCTTTATTACTGTTTTCTGATAAGAAATACTTTTTTTTAAACTTGCTACATTAACGTCTTTTATAAAAGCATCTCAAAAGGAAAATATCTGTAAACCAAGACTTGCAGATAATGCTTTACCGTGTCTGCAAAAATACTCTTAAATGTTAATATATTCACAGAAGGCACTATTGTTCTGTGGAGTTAATGCATAATAATCTTCTGGATGTTGGCCACTTGATCATTCTAAAGCACTCACCACTAGCCAGTCTTTGGTAAAATTTGTAAATACAATCTTCTGTACTGCTGCTTCTAAAGTGGAAAAATACAAACATACAGAATGCCTCCTTAAATGGCACTCATAACAAACATCACATAATTGCCTTTCATTCTAGTACTAGGTGGACTTAATAATAAAAATATGTAGTTTCAACCCTATCTTAGCTTTTTCTCACATGTAATGTACAACAGAATATTTCCTGTCAGAAGGTTTGTTGGCCTTGGTTCGCTTTTGACACTTACCCACTTGCATTCGCTTCACAGAGCACTTCTGGGGAAGTCCAACTCCATTAAAGGCTTCACAATAATATTCTCCAGTGTCTGTCTTTGAAACGGTGTTAAACAACTTTTAAAATAGAAAAAGCAAATGCAGAAGAGGCATAGTTATCAAAAGGGATAAGGAAAATGCAGTTTCCTGCAGAATGAAATTCTGACCCATCTATGTTTATTTTTATCCCAAATTAGACAAAAATCAGGGCAACAGCTTTCCACTTTTGACGCATGGTTTTGAATCAGTGTCTTCCTCATCTTAGATCAGCTCCTAAACATATACCCCACTATCTGCCTCTGCTAAGTTAAGAGTTAATTTCCTTCAATATTCCAGTCAGTGGTTAGCCAAGGTCAGTTTATGAGCCCCCACCCACAAAATATTTTACTCTTAATTCAGCATTTCCCAATGATAAACATTCCATGAAAAAAATCCTGAAAAGTTTCAGTTTCAGCATTCCTCAGATAGAAAGGGAGTAATCCATTTTATGGATTTTACCCCAAAATGAAGTGTTTCATATTTTTGGCAAATCAGTATTTTCTGGTGAAAAAATGTCAGCTTTACAGAAACTACACTTTCCATCAGAAATTTATTGTAAAGGACAATTCCCCAACTAGCTCTAGTTATCAAATACTAATCAGTAGGTTTGTTAGAGCTAGAAAAATAAAGGAAAGAGACATCATCTAGACCAGTGGTTCTCAAATGTTTTTTGTACCAGAACCTATTTGTAAACATTGATGGCCAGTCCCAACCTAGTGCCCCTCACTCCTTACCTACTGCCCCCAAGCCCCAGCCCCCCCAGTGTATGGGGCAGAGGGGTGTGTGGGGATTCGAGGCCTCAACCAGTCCCTCACAAGCTGGACCTCTGCCGGCCTGCAAGGGAAAAGCCACGGTTTCCCACGTTTTTCTCCTTTAAAAGAGAATCCATTTTTTAAGTTTGACACATTTTTAAAGTTTGTTTGTGACCCTTTAATATATTCTTGCAACCCATGGGTTGAGAAACTCTGATCTAAACCAGACAGGGGTTGGCAATCCATGGTGCCTGGGCCAAATCTGGCCCATGGAGTCATTGAATTTGGCTTGTGAACATAGTGCTTTGGCAGCAGTTGCTCTCCCCATTAGGCTGAAGAGAGAAGCAACAGCAGTGGGGTCCTAGTATCCATCTTCATGTCTACCCACCTCTGATCCAGGCTGGGTCATTCTGGCTTGTCACTTGAAAAGATTGCTGACTTCTGATTACACAATCAGTTCTCAAAATTATTGGTTATTTTATTCTTTTTAAAAAATGAAGTATGCTGTTACTGATGTCAGTTTCATATGATAAATGTCAAGAAAGGGAGAGGTAGCTTTGGCAGCTAATCCTAACCTGAAATTAATGACCTTGGTGATTTAAAAACTGGTTCTTCTGAGAGCCACAACACTGGCATGTTCTCAAGTTGTCCACTAGCATATGTAGCAAGTCTCAAAGTTTTGTGCATTTGTGTGGGGTTATTTGCAGCTTCTCTTTCTCTATAAAACAAACCCATATCGTTGTATTTGTAATAAATCTTGTTAGGTTTTCCCCTACTCATTCTATATCTAAAGATAGTAAGGGAGAGCTATGCAAAGTCAAGATTTATAAAACAGACTAATACGTCTAGATACCCAGCTCAGTGCACCTTAAAGAACCCTCATTATCAGAGAGGCTTCTGGTCATCTATCCTCTAGAACAGAGGTGTCAAACATATGGCCCAGGGACTGGATCTGGTGCATGGAGTCCTGCCACCTGGTTCCCTGTGCTACCCCTGGGTCTGAGCAGACCCAAACGGGGCATGGCATGTGCTGGACTAGCTCCAGGGGTACGGCCTGGGACACACCCCACACAGTGTCAACCCCATATGCTCTAAGACTGCATCGCATGGGTGGGTGTATGCAGCACAGATCCCACAGCAACCAGAATGGGTGATACATATGGCACAGTCTGGCTGGGGGCTCTAATGTGGATCTCAGACAAGCCACAGCAGGTACCGACCCACAAGTAGCACCTGCTTGGGCTAGACTGTACGACACAGTGCCAGCTCTGGGATGCACACTGTACACGGTGCCTACCCCAGCAACTCCAGGACTGTGTGACACATGTAAGTTCCAACTCCATGGGTGCCCTGGGGCTCGAGCACCCATCCAAAAAACTTAGTGGGTGCTCAGCACCCACAACCCATGGCTGTGTTGGTGCTTGTAGATGTTAAAAATAAATCAACAAAAACAAACAAACCATGCTTTGCCAGAAGCAGAGCAATCTGGCTCTGTAGCATCTGTAAAGACTGGGTGCTTCAGCGGAGCTTTTTGGTGCTTTTAGCTAAAGTTGATTAATCAGCTATTAGATAAAAGTGCCAAAAAAGCCCCACTAAAGCGCCCAATCTTTACAGATGCTGTGGGTTGAAGTAATGCACTCCCTCCTCTGCATATGCATAGTGCTTGGCGTGAGAATACACCAAGTTTAAAAGTAAAGCACCATTTTAGGCAGGGTGGGAGGGACGGTTGCTGGGTTTTTTTGTTTTTTACATCTGCAAGCATACACTGGCAAAAAACAAAGTCAGCACCTATGGCCACGTGATGCCAGCACCTATGGCCACATGTGATGCCAGCACCTACGGCCACATGTGATGCCTGATCCAGCCAGCAGCTCTTTCCCTGTCCTGTGGCCAGCACTCCCTGCTGCAGCTGCTCGCATCCCACACGAGGCTGTCGGGAGCAGGCACAGGCAGCCCCAGGTGGGCTGCAAGCACCTGCAGTGCGGGGCGCTGGGCACAGGGCAGGTGAGGGGCCGCTTCCCCCCTCCGCCCGTGCTCAGCTTTTCCCCAGGCTCCTCCCCTGCCCAGGCTCCTCCCCTATCCTTCCCCCGTACCTAAGGTTCCAGCACGGGGCAGCCATGTGGTGCCAGGCCAGAAGTGGGACAGCCTGGGGCTTCTGGCTGGGGAGGCCAGGCTGGGCAGCCTCTGCTGTTGTGGGAGCCTGCCGGGCTTCCCCTGGGTCCTACTGCCCTTGGTTCCTGTAATTTTCTAAATTTTTTAGAGGCCCTATGGGCCAGATAGAATGGCCTCATGGGCCGAAGGCCATATTTTGCCCACCCTGACATAGAATCATAGATAAGTTGGGCTGGAATGGACCTCCAAAGGTCACCTAATCCAATCCCCTGTCTGAGGCAGGATAAGCCAAATCCATAATCTTAGTAAAAAACTACAGTTAACCCTGACACAACACCCTAACCTGCCACAGATAAGCAGGGGGACCACATCAGCCACATCTTGGTGTAAAAAAAAAAAAAAAAAAAAAGGATATCCCAGGAAGTTATCCATGCTCCCTGCTACAGATGAAAGCAAACCCCTCCACATACCAATTTGACCATGGGGAAAGTTTCTTTCTGTGACCAAATATGGTGATCTGACCTAGAGTGGAGGGGCAAGACCCTCTAGCCAAACTGCTCTGCATGCAGTGCCTGTCCCTGCCACTCCAGGATCCATGCTGCACACAATGCAGGTCCTGGACCAACTGGAGCAGCTTCCAGATCTGGTAGGCTAGGGGGTGGAGGAAGGGTCCATAGGGCTGGATGAGTCTGGCACCCTGCTCTAAGATATGAATACTTGATCATCCACAAAAGCAAGATGCTGGAAATTACTAGCCATTTTTAAAACCTTACCTTAGAAGATATCATTAATACAAATAGGTTTTGGTCGTCTTCCAAATGTTCTGGAAATTATGCCTCTGCTCACTTTGTACCTATTCCTGTATCCACTGACTTCACTGGTAAAGGACTGAACCCTTTATGGTCCAGCTAGATATTTTTATTTCCATTCACAAGCTGTATCTCCCATTGGCCCCTTCTAAAAAATCTCTAATTGCCATTCTAACCTCTTAAAAGCCTCCTTAACACCTACTTCTGTGGAGAGATACCAAATCATTCACAAATGGCATAGTTTAGGTAACTGACAACTATACTGCTGACTTTTTATTGCTACCTCATCCTTTCAATCCAGCCTCATTGGATTTTATCCATTTCATCTACTTGTCTTGTCATGTAATAAGCAAGTGATGTTATTCCTACTCTACCTAGCTCAATATAGCCCCTGTTCTCAAGCAAGCCTCCCATACACTACTGTAATGCCTCTAAACTCTTTTTAGATAACAAGGAAAGAGTTAACCAAAATGATCTTACCAGGGTTCCAGATTTTTTATTTAGGACATAAGTAATGTTTGCTTTTGCACTGCCTGTTCCTGAAGTTTCCACTAAAGCAACACCATTCTTAAACCACTTGTACTCAGAAGCAGGAGAACCTTCATTTTCTTTGCATCGCAGTTCTACTACTGTTCCACTCATTGCTGAGCTGGGCACTTCACATGTTGGAGTAGCTGAAGCCACTGAAGAACAAAAATTGTATTCATTTTTCCAGTAGTACAAGTATTCTCAAGTGGCATTCACAGTTCTATTACAATTTCTACATAAGCATACAAGGAGTGTCAAAATTGCTCAATATTAAAATAATAAGATAGATGAATGGGGGCCAGCCAAGAAAGAATGGGCCAAAAGACCAGGAGCCAGGGACAGGAAGGAATGGCTTGATCTCAGCCCCATAATGCCCTACTGCGTCTCCCTTGCTCTGCCCCACCCATTACCATATAATTCTAGTCCTAGATCAGCTTCCAAACCCTCACTCCTTTACTCCATCTACCAGCACATAGCTTCAAACAGGAAGCAGTGCATCAAAAGAATAAGGAGATCAGAATTTTCCATTTAAATTTTTAACTTTTTATTGAAAAAAGATTCTAATTTCAGTTCAATTTGGCTAGAAATAATTTTAGGAATGGTGTCTCCTCAGTTTGTTCCTTTTTTATTAATTAGTTGTAAGGATTGGTCAAAAGAGGGTAGGTGTTTTTTGAAGCTTGTTTTTAACCCCTATCATTCTCTCTTTAAAAGTTTTCATGTAAAAATCCATTTTTAAAAAATAGTTATTTTGAGGGGAGAAAACTGCTTTTCCACTTTTTTTGTTTTTGTAAGCTCTCCCTCCCCAAAGCAGAGGAGGATGGAGGAGTAAAAATGTATATATGTGTATGCACATACCTGCTCCTTCCTCTGCACTTTTTCTTAATGAGAAATACACAGAAAGTGAAAGAAAGGGCTCTGAGGTTATCTTTAAAAATAGTCTAAATTTATCAACTGGTAAAGTTGTCAAGGGTTTACTTATTTAAATACAGGGAGGAAATTGTGGCATCTCCAAACAACAAATGAGAAATGTTTGAGAAACTGATAATGGTGACAGATGCTGCTGATAAATAGATGACACTGTGTTGTACTTATCTAAACCATCAACAACTAAATGGCTGTAATTTGTATAAAAGTAATTTTTCCACATAATGAGAATTAGTATGCTTGCTGAGTGTTGACAACTGGAATAATTAGTAACAACATTTATTACTGGTATTAGTTTCTTATTCATAGTAACGTTTTCAATCAAAGAAACTATATATTCAGCATTTTCATATTTACAAAATGCAAACATGAACAAATCTCCTTTGCTAACAAAGAGAATGCCTGGAAAAAGGCCCCCCACACAGACCGAGACAACCAGTGTTTATGCCTCCCACTACCTGCTACCCTTCCGACAAAAACCCAGATAGTTAAATTGAAGATTCTACCCAACACTGTGAGAGTAATGGTAGCCTCTGCCAGATCTTGTGCCTGTTTGCCTGGTGCACTAACTTCACAACGGTATTCTCCAGAATCCTTTCGGGTCACGTTTCTAATGCGAATGCCGATATTCAACATTTCCGCTCGACCTTTAAGGTCACCTTTAAAAAAGGAAACAAAAAAGTAAAGAAAACAAACCAACCAACCAAAAATCCCCAGAGATGATCTGACAGATAGAAATGTATTTCTTAAAGATCAAGTCCATTCTAGAAATGAAATATGTCACGGATTTTTCAGCTTGTTTTACATAGAAACATTAGAAGTGCCACACTGGGTCCATCTAACCCAGTGTCCTGGCTCTGATGGTGGGAGGAGTGTATGTTTTAAAGGGAGAGCACTGAACCAGGCATATCTAGAGTGGTCTATTTCCTACCCATTGCCCTTCCTGATATCCACCAATGTTGGTTTGGAGATGCTAGAGGAAACATTTACAGTCATTCTGTTCAACAACTATCTATCACACATAAATTTCTCTAGTCTCTAGCATGGTGTCTAGTTTTGACACCACACAAGACATTTACATAGGAATTACTTTTTGCTTTTTGAGGGTTGAAAATATTTATGTTTCACTTTTCAGTGATAAATATTTATTTTTTATAAATATAAATAATATATTAGGTATTATTCTAGCTGCCCAATTTTAGCTCAATTCCCCATGGGCTGGAAGTTGTGCCTGTGCCACAGACAGGAGGCAGGAGGGTAAGAAGAAATGGGGAGGGAAGCACCAGCAGCAGCAGCATGGGTGCAGCTCCCAGCTGCTTGACTCAAGTGCAGAAACAGGCACATCTCTCAGCTGCTGATGTGCTGCTCAAGCTCCCCTGGCAGCCCACATCAGATCAGTGCAAGGTTGTTCCCACCTGCAGCTTGTAAAGGTTGTTAGCTGCTGCTATAAACTATACATTTTCAGGATCAGAATTAAATACTCTAAGGTGAAGACTATCCCTGTTGAGCATAAAGGCAAATGAATTACCTATGAAATGCACACAGTGTCCAGCAACATAGGTGCTGGAATACTAAGATTTCTGATTTTGGCAGCACAGGGAATCTCCAGCATGCTTTTATAGGACTTCGTAAACTGTCTATGGTTTAGAATCAGAAGGTTTAATATGATATTCATGACAGAAGATGTGGCCTTGCAGGTTGATTTTCTCCATAGTCGATGATTGAAATTTTTTTTTTTTTGCAGGTAGTATAAAGTTACAAATTTCTTTCAAAAGTTTGAATTCTGGGAAAAATATGGGAGAGGAAGATAGGACAAAACTTTACAGTAATTTTTTTAACAGAAGATAGAAAAAGTTCATAATAGAAAACCTGAATTTTGTGATTATCAGTTTTCATTAAAGACTAAAATTTTTGCTTGGCTTGAAAAAAAGTCAGTATTTGATTAAGTGAGCTTTGGCCTATGAAACTGTGCACTACATATATAAATTACACAGACACAGACACACACACACGCACTTTGGCTAGTCTATATGGTATAAATCTATCCTGCCTTCTGCTTGGAAGGTGAAAAAAATGTCACAAAAGTCACAAGTGGTTTAGTAAAGATGTGGCCATATGAAAGCTCTGAGTATATTTGGAATGAAATATGCAACATGGGCATTTAATACCTGCACGTAATTGCATACGAAGTTTATAATGTCTATTTGCCAAGCTTGCCACTTCCGTGGACAAAACAGGCACAATTAGGAATGTGCAAGTCTAACAATAAAACTAGCACTGCTTGTAAGTTCTGCAAACCAAATAGCTCTAGGTTTATTATTTTCCTCCCCAACCTTTACTTACTAAAAACACATTTCTTCCTCAAAACTTAAAAGCCAAATAAATTATTTTAAAGATGTTCATATATTCCTGGATTCTACTGTTATAAAATAGGATGCATTTAAAATGTATTGTTGAATTGTATGTATGAACTGTATATTGAACTGTATTCCAGCCATTCCTAAACATTTGGCTTTATATTAAAAATATCTTTCAGATGCATATCTAGAGGATTGCAAAGCTGCAATAAGAATAGGTCATTTCCTCTTTATTTACATATAGCTCAGTTTCTGGAAGGATTCAGGGAACCTGCATTGTCATTTTTTTCAAGCCTAAACAAAAGACACTAAAAAAATTAAAAAGTTAACTTAATCTATAAATCAAGGAGAAACTCATTGTCAGAGGCTCAGTTAAAATAATTTTCTCAGGCTTCCTCTTCTTGAAGATTTAATAAGTCTAGGAAGCCATTTACATGGTCAAGGATATCCTTCATCATCACAAAGAAAGTCTGGAAAGTCTGTTTGTCATTAATATTCAGAAAAGAAAACAAGTTGCATTTTAGCAGTTTCATCATTTTAACCCATCAATCTTCAAGATTGCAGCCTCTTACCTGTAAACGCACTATTATAGTAGACAAATGAGACTCCACCAGTTCCTCTTTTCTTCCATTCTATTCTTGGAGTAATAGTCTTTGGAACCGAGGGTCGGCAGCTAAGAATAGCCTCTATGAAAAAGAAGCAAGGCAATGATCAGCATTTTACCCCAGATTTAAGCCTCACAAAGATAAGAAATGATCTGAATATTTTTTGTATGAAATCAAAAATATATTCAGTAAGAGCCAAATTGTCCACTCAAAACTGACTTCCAGGGTTAAAAAAAAAGGAATAGAGAACAGAATTTAAACAGCTTCCCTTGCCAGTCACAAATATCTGAGAACCCTAAAGCAGGCTGGCTGCTTGGGCTGTAGCTCTTCCCAGTCTGGCCACCCCATGCTTCTCCCAGAAACAGGTGCTAAAATGTGTGGAACTGTCCTGTACACTTACTTCTGGGAGAAGGGAGAGAGGGAAGAAGGAGAGGTAAAGGAAATGGAGGAAGGACCAAGGAGGGCTGCAGCCCGAGCCAGCTTTCCTATCTTGCTTCCAGATTTAGAGAATCCAAATGTGGAAGTGTGTGCACGCTGCAGCCCTGTGCATGGGACAGTGGCTGTGTTGTGGCACTCCTGAGGAGATCTCATGTTGAGAACCTCTGTTCTTAACCCCAGTTATGAACCTCTGTGGTAGAACCATGTTAGTGAGATAGTGCACGTGAGCTAATAAGCTAGTTCCAGAGCTAGTGCGTAGAGATCCTGTTTTGGTAACCAAGGCACCCTTGCACCAAGTAGAATGCAAGTGTATGTATGTGTACTAGGATGGATGTGCACTAGGGCATTCACAACTAGTTTAGGACCTCTGTTTTGAGCTACATAGATTTACACACAGAGCATTTCATTTCTAGGTTATCCACTATATGCAGAGCAGATTCAGGAAGACCAAAGGCCATTTTGTCTCCAGTGGTACCCATCTACTTTTTAGTGGACACATCACAACACACACAACCACCTGCATTAACTCTCACTTGTTGCCAATCTCAGAAAGTGTGCCTGAGGACTGAATAAGTGAAGACAACAAAGTTGTCCCTCCAGACAGAGACCAAGATGCATTACCAGGGTATTGTGAGGAAGTCTGTACTGTTGTTTTCCCTGCTCTGCCAATGAATAGAATGTTTCATAACTCCAGGGCTACCAGCGAGGCACCTTTCATGAACAGTGAGATTGCATACAAAACAAGACTGCTTAAAAAAAAAATCCAGCAGCAGCGAGAGCGACTCCTTTTCCGCAACAGTTTTCTTTACAAAAGCATGTGTGTACTCAGGAAGTCTGAAGTTCCTGACGGCAGGTTGAATGGGATGGGTTGTGGCGTTTCCTGCACTTCAAGATTTGCTTTAAGTTTCCTTTCCATTTTATATCATCTGCTTTGTTGCCTTTATAACAATTTAAACAAATCTATTACTCACAGTCAGCCTGTCTTCACTTTTGGCCTCTGTGTGTGTTGGTTGCCTGACTGAGGTGGGGGCAGCTGAGTTACAGCGTTCTAAGCTCATGAATTTACCTGTACTTTGTGGACAAGATTTACAGTATACTGTAGTTGTTTCTCTCACTTGCCCAGACTTTTTTTTTTTCTTTTTGGCATTCATTTGCTTTTACTTCAGCGCCAGGGCTGAAGCCACCATCAATGACCCTGTCCTATCAGGAGGGAGAAAACAGAGCCCACTGCTGAGCTCACAGAATGCTTCCTGCTAAATTCAGAGGTTTATGTATAGCGATGAACATGCAGCATAGGTCTCTTCACTGTAAACCCAGGGGAGGCAAAGCACTCTAATGCAAGGATGTCAAACATGCAGCCCATGGGCCGGATCCAGCCCCTGAACCCAGGTCATCTGGCCTGAGCACTTTTCTCCTGCTCCTCAAACTCAGTATCTACAATCTCACAATAGCAAAGAGTGGATGCTAAGGGAAACCATATATATGCAGGGCCTACCAAAATTTATCTGGTCCCCTCCCCTTTCTCCCAAATAGCCTCCAATATTCAGAGGCCTAGGAAGTCCTAATTTGAAAGTTGTACCCCATGGCTATCATGTTTATTATCTGCTGATAGACCTATCCTGAACTAACTGATTTCATCCTCTTTTCAACCTGGTAAAATTATCAGCCTCTGCAACATCTTGTGGCAATGAGAACTGGAAGACAAAAAAAATGAATGGTTAAAGGAAGAAAGGTATGAATGGACATCCACTTGTTTACTTGAGTGTAAATTATTAAAGAAAAAAGTAACTTAAACTTATTCCCTATTGACTGTGCCCAATTGATAAGTGGAAGGTAGGAAAATATAATTTCCACACAGGAATGGTATTTAAAGATCAAATGGAAAATTACATATTTTATTTTTATAACAAAAAACTTATTTTAGAGGTAAATTTACGGTATGTTTTTTCTCATTTCACTCCTCAAACTTCGTGGCATTAATTAGGTTTAAAATACACAGTTCTCTGCTCCAATAATATATATCGCCTAAATAAATACAGTATTTTATTAGCATTGGGGAAATAAAAAGTGATATTCTCATCATAGTCAAACATGGATATGGGCTTGGAGATTGAAAGTTTGCATACCTTTCTCAATATATATATCTTGATCTGTATCTTGAGGGTGAAAGGATCTTCCACAATTCATAGTTGTGCTAAAAGCAGTTCACACACTTCCACAACTGCTCCTTTGTACTAGATGCAGCGTGACAAGCTTGGCACCATTTTCTATTTCCATTTTGTTCAGATACTAGTGCTGCTAATAAGGGAAATGCTGCTACATAAAGATAAAGACACCCAAATAAAATGCAACAGGAGAGGAAAGCAGAGAAAAAAAGGACTGAGATACAGGGAGTACAAGAACGTGTTATTAGGCACCAATGGGGAATAAAGAGATGATATATGAAATCAAGACATAAAACACACTAAGATAGTGTTTATCAAAATGGGATATGTAGTGACAATCTAGAAATTTTAGGATAGAGAGGAATAGGAAAGCAGAAAGGAAGGGGAACTAGTCTTTATTTCTCCATATATAACTATGATACGTAGATAATTGGAGTTGCTGCAGTGACGTAAAATGTTATTTTTAACTTATCCATCATGTGGAATTATAGCAATAATAACCCTATAAATAATAACAATAGTTTAATAACCACTAACTCACTGAACTCATACATAGTATATATCCTGATCACTCCCCTAAGGGGTGTATTTCAGGCAGCTGCACACAGTGGGGAACTAAGTGGCTTATATCTGGGTTCTTGTAAAGCTTAAATCCGCTGTGTTGGTAGACAGCAGTATCAGAGTGTTCAGTCTAGTATATGAATTAAATAATGTTAAACACAGTGTATGAATGACAAGAAAGAACAATGGGATGCTGAGACATACAATTACACTGAAAAAAAATGCATCCGAGGCTTAAGAGTGCCTAAGAGCCAGGACAGTAAACTGTTATTATTCTCTCACCCTTTCTGAGCCCTGAACACTTATGTTTTCTGCCTTCATTTTTTTCAAAAAATTCTATTAATTCTTGTGAGAGATGCCAGGTTGATGGCCTTGTAGACTAAGAGCTTTTTCATCTCCAGAAATATACAAACTTTTCCCAACAGTATTTTTCAAACTTGACTCCAAGGAACCATTTTTAGAATAAAAAAGACGGTTTTTGCTTATTTACTGTATATGCCTGATTAACCTCCAATACCCACATCATAGCATTTCAAACAAATACAAACACACAATTGCTAAGGCTCCATTCTTCACTAGCCAATGGGAATAGGACACCAATCTCTCTAAATCCCTTCACCAATTCTTCTTCCTCCTCAATAAATTCACACTTCTTGTGAAAACCTCCAAATCCCTACAAGAATCCTACCCCTCTAGGTCCAATCTTGTCAGTTTGTACATTCTGACAATGACACTAGCCATGTTACCTTGATCTTCTGGTTCCCCCTCAATCATCTCTACACTTTCTCCTTCTTTACTAGTTACATATGCACAACCTTCCCTAGCACACCAGATGAGTGCCCTCTCATTGAGGTGCCTCTGGAAGGCCCACTGACTCCCCAAACTCTATGTGAAACTTGGAAAAACAAAACAAAAAACAACCTCCTGAACTCATGAAACAAACAAAAAACCACTTCCTGAACCAATCCATGGGACATACCGATGCAAGAGTCAGCCATTAATCTAACCATGATGGTGACTCGATACAGGTTATTTTTCCTCTTCCTCCTTTTAATCTATTATTTTATTTCATATAACAAACTCCTCTGAGCAGGAACTTATTTTACAAACTGGAATACATTCAAATACAGAGAACAGTTCCAATCCAAATTCAGAAATAATGCTACTAATAGTTTCTTGGGTTGCCTACTGAGACTGCTAGTATTGGTGCTATAGTAGTGTGGACACTTGTTTGGTAAAAAAGAAACCTGTTAGATTGCAGTTACTGACTTTGGTTGATTTTGACTAGAGTTTTTGAGCTAAAACATGTCTATGCTTCTTTTTATACTTGTTCTTCATCATTGTTAGGAGAATGATGACCAATCTCCTAACATTATAGGTGGGGCTGATAGCATCCCCAGTGATTAAAGTTGCCTGATGCTTTCCATTGTAATGTTCATTCTTTCACTCGCAAAAACTTGTTTAATAGCTTAGACTGAAATGTTCTATGCTGGGCATCTGCCTCAAGTAGAACTTTTTGCAAAATTTCAGCAAAATGTTTCACTGACTTCTGAGAACAAAGTTAGGGAAAATACAATGTTGTTTTTTTGGTGTCATGTTCAAAGTTCTGGTGAACCCTAGTTTGAAAAATTCCAGTGCCCCCTCACACTCTGGAGCAGTAACTTGTAATTTGGCACAATGGTAGTATTGTGCCAAGGACACTCCTTGACATTCTTGTGAAATTCTCCAGATTTTAAAAGTAACAATATTTTCCAAAGATGCTATCCACACTGAGCATACTCCCACCTTCAACTGAACAGGGCTTCTTACAGCTGCAGTTTTCCACTGGTTCCAAACCTTGCCACAAACGGCTGTTACTTCTGTGTTCCCAATGGCTTTGTCATGGGTCCAGACACCGCAGGCAAGAAAGCTGACCAATTCAAATGGAAAAGCAACAAGCAGCAAGTCTGTAGGGTTTGGAAAAAATTTGGGGCAACCCTGTGTGGGGGCAGACTGGAACTGGAAACTGGAAGTCAGAGTAAAATAGACAGGAAGATGTATGAGAGGGGTGTTAATTGGCTCCTGGAGGTGAGGAAGGGAGAATGGGACTGGCTGGTAGGGCTGTGCAAAGCTGTGGGTGCCGATTCGATTCAGAGGAGATTTGCCCGATTCGGTGGCCAAATCTCTGAATCCAAATCTCATCGGGAGACCAATGAAAAGGTCCGAATCAATTTGAAGTTCTCCGAATTGATTCAGAAAAGAATCGGAGAGCTTCAGAGATTTAGCCAGTGTCCACTTGCTGCTGCAGGGAACTGAACCCGGACTCCATGCTGGTAAGTAGGGGGTGAGGGAGGCATGGCTGGAGGCAGGGGGATGGGTCCATGGGGGGGCCCCCCCACCAGGCCCCATCCCCTGCCTGCTCCCCCAGTTCCCCTGAGCACCCCCAACCCCCACCCACTCTCCCAGCCCCACCATGGCTGTCCCACCTGGCCTCAGCTCCCAGCTTTTTGCTTTAAAAAAGAAAAAAAGCCTCCACTCACCAGCTGCTGCCAGGTGGGGGGGCCATCTCCGCTGCCCTGCGCAGTGTGAGAGGCTCTGCCACAAATCCTGAGATCACTGGTGCACCCTGACAGCCAGCATTCCATGCTTGGATGATGGGCAGGGGCGCAGGTGAGAGCGCTGGTGCCTCCCCGAGAGCACCATCTGGGGAGTGGGGACACCAGAAGTGATCCCCATAGTCCCCCCCGTGGCCAATCATGCTGACCTGGAAGTGCCAGCAGCATGCGGCTGACACTTCTGGGTCAGCGCGATTGGCTGCAGGGTGACCTCCCCCTCCCACCCTCGTTGGTGTGATCAGCCATGAGGACCCCCCCACCGTCAGTGCCACTGGCTGCGGGGGAACCATCCACCCCAGTTGCTGACTAGCCGCTGGGGATGCAAGTGACCCCCCGACTCTGAAGACACCAATCACCCATGCGTGGGGGGGGGGGGCTCGTGGCAAAAGCTGGTGATTGCAGGGCCCTTTTAATTTAAAAAAAAAAAAGAGCCGGGATGCTGGGGCCAGATGGGGCAGCCATTGACGGGGCTGGGAGAATGGGCAGGGGGGGATGAGGCCTATTTGATTTGGAGATGTGGCTGATTTGGCGGCGGCCAAATTGATTTGGGACAGCGATTCAAATCACTAAATTGAATCACTGTCCCCTGAATTGGCTGAATCTGAAGCGAATACTAGCCACTTCATATAGGCCTATTGGCTGAGCAAAAAGGAGACTAGGACTAAGATGCAGCTAGCTGTATAATACAGCTACACAGCTGTAACACAGCTATAATACAGGCACAAGGGGCCTGAAATAGCGTTGTACTGGGAGCCTTAATTCTGGCACTTCCTAACTTCCAAATTCTCCACTCTGCAACCTTAAAAACATTCTTTTAATATTTTTGGTGTTTCATATATAAACATTTTACGTGCATATATATGCACACATATACACACTTAAATGCAGTGATGGCCATACTGTACCCTTAAACTCTTCTGCTTGAACATGATTATTGTCCGTTCTGACAGAGATGCCATACGCCATACGATTGTGATCTGTAATCAGAGGGGGGGAAAAAGAATTCAGACAATGAACACACTTTTTTCCACAGCTGCCTCATGAGATTTCATGCACTGCTTTTAAACCTGATTATAGAGAACAGACTGACTTTTCCTGATGGACAAGATGCTAAGCTAAAACTCAGGAGATCTGACACAGTCTTCCTCTCTTCATCGCAAGCCATCTGGGTTACCTTAGGCACGTCTCTTCATCTCTGTGCCTCAATTTTTCCATGTGCAAATGCAGATATTTTTAAAAGAATGTTTTCGTCTTTTGTAAACTACTCATGGAACTACTAATAAAGGAGTACTATATTGGACCTAGGAATCTGTAAGTAAATGGGATTAGGCTTTTAAATCCACGTACATGGATAGTGTCCTTCACAATCTACAGTGTACAATACGCAAAGCATCATTTTTTTCTTCTTACATGCATTTCTTACTGTAATGAGGCCTTCTCTTTTATAAGAACACATAGCATTATATACTCCAAAAGCAGGATTATGCCTGTTAGTGCATAAACTCCCTGAACAAAGGACTGTTATTCTTTTACTAGCAAATTGCCCGTCAAGAATGATGGATGAATTTCAAACAACAAAAACAAACAGATAGATTTTACTTTTTATATTTATTTAATAAATATTTATATAATTTAAATAAAATAGGCTGAACATTTGAAGATACCAATCCCTTCCTGCACTTGCTCTTGTCCAGCGGACTGGAGGTGGACCCGCCTATGCTGCTCTCCAGCTGCTGCCTGCATGCCTCTTTGCTAGGCAAGGGCAAGTGCAAGCTCCACACCTTGCAACAGCTGCTCACGCCCCGGGACTTAGTCCGCTCCGACCCTGGGCACCTCCTTCCCTGCTCGGGGCTCAGGACGGGGCTGCCGCTGCTCACCCACTACCTTGTGCCTCTGCCCAGCTCCCACTTTTCCTCAGATGGCCTCTCCCTCTGCCTTTCCCACTGCAGCGGGCTACTGGTGCCCTCCCAGGATGAGCTCAGAAGAAAACAGCTCTGGCCCCTAACTTTTTTCCCCCAATTCTGAAAGTTGGGATCATCCTGATATGGTCACTAAACAAATGCTAAGGTTTAGCAAAGACATTTCTCTGAAGACACAGAGTTACAGTTTTCATGCTATTCTCATCTAAAGAGTGTTACGGACAGACAGACACACAGACAATTGGTTAAGCCTTTCATTTATATATAGATTCTCAACTCAATGCATTTTATTGTTTCACATATGCTTTTTCTCTCATACAAGTTCACGGACTTCTCTTGGGAATTCAATATGGCAGCTAGCAAGATAATGCAGCCACTCATTTCACAGTTAAAACTCAGGTAGCACTCATCCTCAAATTATTGCACAAAATGTTGACATTTGATCTTCTGGACAAGACCTACCTGGTCTTGTGGAGGCATTCACAATGCCTAGCACAATAGAGCCTTGAACTCAAACTGGAGTGTTAAAGCACTACTGCAGTACAATTACAATAACTACCACCCAAGTCCAAACCATGCTAAACTATAAACGTATGAAGCCACAACCGCAGTTAAATGCTGTTGTTTCAATTTTTAAATGGCTTCTCCTATGGGTCTGTACTACTTTTGAAAAATAGGATCTAGTACTCACTGTATTTTCATGGACTTTCTCCCCCATTCACCTCAAAACATATAAATCACCTTTCCTTGAAACAAACTTTTTTTCTAGTATATTGTATGAGCAAGTTTACAGTTACCATTAACTTGATCATGGCTATTCAAGGCTGGTGCCCACATAACTCCACTGCAGTAAGACCCAATATACTGCTGGTGGCTAAAATTCAGCATAGGCACCTTTTTCTGAGGCACACAGATCAGAGAGGAGATAGGCAGCACAGAAGCAGATAGGCCAGGAAGCAGAAAGCAGAGGAGGCAAGGGAAGGGAATCAGAGTGGCACCTGGGGAAGTTGCAGGGCCAGTATGTGGCACATCTACCAAAAATGTTGGCCCCCAGTGCACTATACATTGATGTAAAGCTGAAGTTATGTAGTGGTTATTCAGGCCTTACTTATCAGGTTTTGAATTATGGCTTAGTACAAGGATACTAAGCAACCTTTTTCTAGCTGCTACAGACTTGGTCTTGTCCTTGCTGATCCCACTTTAGGGAGCTTAAGGTGAGATGATCTAATGATCAATTCTAGCCTGAGCTCCTGTTTAAATCACAAGCCATTAATTTTTCACCCAGTTGATGCTGTATGAAGCCCAATAACCCAGCAAGAAAGTTAAATAAATCTTAGTAAAATAGCTACAATTCACACTGCTGTTTCACATTTTTATTACCCAGAAATATATATACTGTTCTCACCTTGAAGCTTTAAGTTTTTACTAGGGGTGCACTGATAGCAATTTTGGGGGCCAATACCGATAGCCGATTTTTAAGGAGGTATGTCGGCTGATACCAATCCGATTTTCAATACAGCATGGAGAGCTGTGTACAGCTGGAAAGTTGGTTGTGGTGGAAGGGAGGGGATGAGGTAAGGGGCATGGGGGGGGCAGATCAAGGCCCGTGCTGTGAGGGAAGGAGTGGAGGTGGGGCTGGGGCTGGGGCAGGGCAGGGCATGAGATGGGACCACAGCTTGTCTGGGGGGCATGGCTCCCACTGTTCTGCGCTCCCTGGGAGGGCATTGGGAGGCGGGGATGTCTACCCCTCGGATCTGGGCGGGGTGTGTGGGATACCCTCGCGGACTGGGGTTAGGGCTGCACTAGGTGGTTTCCGGAGGGGGCTAGGCTACACTGCATTTGGGGTGGGTGGTGGCAGCACTGGGAGAGGGCTAAGGGGGGGGGCTGCAGTCACCCCAAAATTCCCCATACCCCTCCATAATCTCCCCTCCCAGCACTGCCACTGCCAGCCCTGAGTGTAGCCCAGCCCAGCCTGCACTGGGAAGAGCCCGGCACAGCCCCAGCCCACAGTGGCATCCTGCTCTGCCCCATGCAGATCCAGGGGCACCCCCCTCTCACATGATGTCTGGGTGTGCACAGCAGTGGGAGCTGCCCCCCTTCCCTGTGCCCCCCAGACAAGCCGCAGCTCCATCCCACACCCTGCCTCTGCTTGGCAGTGCCTGCCCTGGCCACAGCCCTAACCCTATTCCCTTCCTCACTGCAGGGGCCTTGATCTGCCCCCTCCATGCCCCTTACTTCCCCCCTCCCCTTCTACCACAACAGACTTACTAGCTACATGCAGCTCTCCAAGTTGCCAGGCTGCACTCCTTGCCATCTACATGCTGCACTATGGCCGCACACATGCATGGGCTATTTATCGGCCAAATTATTGGCCACATCAGGCCGATTTCCAATACAGCTGATTTTCTTTATATCAGTGCACCTCTAGTTTTTACTTCAAGCTTATTCCAATTAATATCCTTTTACATCTACTGATCCTTGTTTCCCCATTTAGATTATGTCAATTGTAATTTTAAATCATTCCTTTCTCACTAGTTTGATTTATTTTTTTGGGCTAGGGAAGAATATAAAAAAAGGAAATATTTTTGTTTCTTCCAAGTCTAAAGTATGTTTCTGTTACTATAATTTCTGTTAATAAATATTACATATTTTCTATTTTAGTAATCTCCTGTTTCATATTTCTAAGGGGTGAGGGGAAAAAAAACACTAAGTATGGCACAAAGTGCTTTATTTAAAGCCTGGCTAACACTTTATTTGTAGCTGGTTCAGAAATTTTAGGAATCATGGATATATGCCAGATCGTTAGACTTAGCTGTTTATAATAATTCACAACCATTTAAAATCTGAACATTTCTGCAGAGTTGAGTATGAAGACATTTTTGCTCCCCTTTAAAAAATCTAAACTTCTAAATTCTCATAAAAAATGCAATATCATTAATGCAATGCCATTCTAATACCAGTCAAAGTAGCTAAGAAATGGAATTGGGACCACAGTAAGAATTAATACATATTTTATGCCTACCAGAATGTGGCACATTCTTTGTGTTTTGCTATGAATAATGCTGTAATACCAATTTTAATTTAATTTATTTTTTGCATAGCACATGCTGATCTAGAAACTATGTTTCCAGAAAGACTGCTTACTTTCCTTCATCAAATGAGTTGAATGATATCTAGTTAAAAAGTGTATGAAAATGTTAGTTTGCAGTATATTATAAATCAAGAAACATTTTAAAAAATCCTACTTTCTTGAAAGGCATTTTGTAGCCCTCTAATAAGAATTTAAGTCAGAGAACAGCAGTAGAGAGGAGGCTGGTTAAGATAAAGAAGCCAGTAAAGTATTTTGGTCAAATACCAGAACAAAGGAGCAGCTCTAAAGCTATGGGAATTCCTTGTCTCAAGGGATGGGATGCTGCTGGCAACTACTTAAAATCTAAGACTTGGGTATTTTGAGGCTCTTTATCCTTCATGTAAAGAAAAGTAATGGAAAGATACTATATGCCAGAGCAGCCTGTCAATGAAACTTTCCTACCAAATATTTGGAGAAACATTTTACATTGCCATAATCTGTCCATGTGTTTGCAATCAGTCCCGTAAAGAACACACATTTGCTCTTCGTGACTTGAACAAAAGAAAAACACATTAGGTACTTTCAGAAACCACTATGTTTCCTCTGATTTGATTGCAGGAAACTGCAGGAGAACAGATTCAAAACAGTGATAGGGGTACAAAAGAAAACAGTCATACAATGTTTGTTTTGTAAAGTCCTAGATCACATGTTTATAGCAAAGGTTATCACAAGGTTTCTAAACATATTATAGGTTTAGGAACTCAGCTGTTTCAAGAATAAAATGATGGGAATGAAAGTTGCCTGTGTTAAAATCCCTAAATGTGGGTGGGAAAGACTAGCCTTCTATATTTGAAGTCAGCATCCCTACAAAATGTATGAAGTGAGTTAAAATATCTGTCCAGTGCCCTGGGTTAAACCATCAGAGGTGTTCTTGTTTTTTTGGCATAAGTCTTCTCAGGTCTGTAATTCCTTGCCAGAGATCATCACA